CTGCAGTGCGATTGGCCATTTTTCCCCGCAGGCGCTGATGGTGGAGTTCATGGTGATGGCGTCCGGCCTCAGCTTCTGCTTCTGCATCTCCTGGAGTAAGCCGATGGCGCATCGCCAATGGCCATGCTCTTTGCAGGCGCGAATGGCTGTGTTGAAGGTGATGGCATTGGGTGAGATGCTCTTTGCAGGCATGGCCGCTAAGAGACCCAGCGCAAGCTCCCACTGCGTCTCACAGGAGCTGATGCAGGCATTGTAAGTGACCACACTTGGAGTAATCTTGCAAGCGCCCATGCACTTCAGCAGCTCAAAAGCAACTTGCCAGCGTCCGCACGCGGTGATGGCGGCGTTAAAGCAAATGACGTTGGGGGAAACCTTCCTGCGGCTGAACGTGCAGCCCGAAGCAATTCAGCAAAGCACGCAGTACTTCCAACAAACGGTGGAGGAAGAAACACGCCACAAGGACACCGGCAAAAACACGACAACAGGAGCAATAACAAAACACACTTTACAATGATGCAACATGCGGACGTTATGTAGTAATTGTTCGAGGTTGTCTTTCAGTCTTTCAATGTGTTCAATTGAAAACCTGAACTAGCACTCGAACCATGGATACTATGGCTCAACCGTACCCTAATCCCCATGCAGCTTCCCGCGTCCTGTCGAGCATGGTGTCGAGCGTTTGGAGCGCCAACTCCCAATGTCCCCGGCCTGAGCGGGGAGGCGAGTCATTGAGCCAACGGACTCGGAAAGTCATGGCAGCTTGTGCCGGGTTGTATGGCAAAAGGTTGTGTGTGTGTGTGTGTGTGTGTGTGTGTGTGTGTGTGTGTGTGTGTGTGTGTGTGTGTGTGTGTGTGTGTGTGTTTGTGTTTGTTTGTCGGTGTGTGTTTTGCGTGCATATATGTGAGCGTGTTTGCGGGCATGGCGTTTATGCGCATTCAACAAGAGCGTGGGTGGGTGGGTGGGTGGGTGGGTGGGTGGGTGGGTGGGTGGGTGGGTGGCGGTTGAGGCCACGAACTCAGTTTTGTTGGCTCACGCACGGGCATGTTGAAAGCGCAACTGATTGACTTCACCCACTTGTGACCAAACTCCAGCAACTCATTGTCGAACACATTCACACAACTTGAGGCATTTCAACTCATCGACTTTTGAGACCTATTTCAGACATGAAGCCAACTACGGCCAAACGAGATCAAACTGAGGCCAAATATGGCCAAGTACTCGCCGAATAAGGCCAAATGTACGACATGTCAAATAGAGCCCCGCACAAACCGCCACAAGAATCGTGTTAACAAGACTAGAGCCAGACAGGAAAAAAGGGGCCTTTGGGTGGTGAAGCTGCCTTCAGCACGTCCCAGTAAGCAACAAGACACACAGCATTGCTTTCCTCCTAAACACAACTAAGGTCAAATAAAACAATACAACATGGCTGGTGTCACATATTCTAAAAACTGGGGCCCGTACCCACTTTAACCCCAATGTAATGGGCTCACACTTCCTCCTTCCCAGTGGCATGCGCTGATGGCTGCGCTGTAGCTGGCCGTGTTCGGCACCAGCTTCTGAGTTGGCATGGACTGCAAAAGGTGCAGCGCCGCGGGCCATTTTCGGCCCTTCTCGCAGGCGCTGATGGTGGCGTTGTAGCTGACCACGTCCTGAGCTTTACGTAAAGCACTGGGCAACACCGTGTGTGGCGCTTCGGCAGAAACTAGGTTCTGAAAATTGGACCGTCGTCCAGCCACCCGGCAAGGTGCATGCGAACCCAAGCCCTGGCCCGGTTGGCCCCTAATCTGCCCAACACGACGCAACCGGGCACCACGCGGGTGGTTGATTCTTAGGGTTCCGGCTGGGCTTCTTGATTGAACTACTGCAGTCGCCCATGGAAAGCCGGAAACTTGATCGAGGCTTCTGCAGTCGGTCTGGGCGCTCGTTTCTAGCCACATGAGCCATAAGCTGTGGATTTCTTACGGAACCTGGGCTCTTGAGGATCCATTGTGAAAAGGCCCCGCGCTGAAAACGTGGCTCCGAGTCAAGGGTTGTTGCCATCCACCGGAAAGGGGGGTACCCCCCCCAATACTAGCTCTAAACTATGTAACTCCTTTAAAAGCGTGGTTGTTCTTTTGGCATCTCTTCAATCAGCTTCCCTCGAACGCACCCTCTGCAGGAACCAGAGCTTGAAAATCCAAATCCAAACCAATCCAAACCAATTAGGATTACCTGGTTAGGTTTTTTTTCCAACTCCGAACCCATCCAAACCAAGCAGGGGTTCCCTGATCTACACACCCAAGGGCTCGCTTACCCGATCCGCGGCTCGGCCGAGCCACGCCGAGCTCCGCCCGTCGCATGGCTCCGAAGAGGCCGAGGGCAGATGGCCAGCGCTTGGCGTGGCCCAGGGAGCTGATGCCGATGGTGAAGTGACCCGCGTCCAGGGGATACTTCCTAGGAAGGGCAACACCAAGGGGACCAACGGGAAATAAACCAAGCCGAACAAAGTAGGGCAAATAAACCAAACAAAAACCAAGCAAACAAAGAGCAAACCAACAAGAAGCGAACCAAAACCCACCAAGCCAAACCAAACACTCACAATACGCACACGCAAACACAGAACCACTGTATATTTATAGACAGCATACGTATGCATGTACTCGATTTCCCAAAGACGTTATGGATGTCTCCGACCTGCCCCTATCCATTTCATTCCATTTTCCCGGGGCAAAGACAGGCCGTTTGGAGCTTCTGTTCGGCCATCCGCGCCAAAGCCTTTGCCACATCTTCTGGCGCCAGCGCCTTGAGGGCCTTCGCCGCTTGCGGCCCTGTCGCGGTCAGCAGCCGCTCCAATCCTGCCAATGGACATGCGAAAGCTCGTCCAGCCGGCTTATGACATGGGCGGTGACTAGGCCCCATCTCGCAATTCACCCCATCCCATGTAGACTCAAGTGCGGCAACAGCACTTTCCCACTGACATGCCGTAGCTTTGCATCATCTGCAAGCATGCACGTTGCACCCAGGCGCGGTCAGAAAAGTAAATAAGCTATCTGATTCAGCCCCAGTGAAGTGCCAAGCATGTGACCAGTCAGCATGTGCCTGAACCCCACAAACCACTCACAAGCCACTAGAAATTGGATACCTTCTTGAGCCCTGGGCCGAAGGCAGGTTCTCCAACTTCGGACCGGAAAAATACCGAGCAGCCCAGGTGCCAACTATCGCTCTCGCGTCAAACCTGCCCTATGGTGTGAATTTGGGGGTTGGTGCACCTAGATGGGGTGCACTTTTTCAGCGCCCAAACGCGAATGTTCCTTTTGAAAAGCAAACGCATGCCGCATTTCGCTCTGAAACCACTCCAGCGCAAAGAATGCGCCTTGGTCATCGCACGCGCCATCAAATGGCTGTGTGCCAAAACTCTGTACCCCTTGTGAACATCAAAATAGGTGGCAAATGGATGTTCGTCCACCCCAAATTGGCTCAGGTTATGCAACCTTATGAAGCTGGGACGTCTCTACTCCCGTCAGTTTGGCCCCGCCTAAGTCCCGGCGCCGCGCCATGGTGGCATGACGCAGGCATGAGCTGCTTTTTTCTGGCGAAGTGTCCGAGCCGAAAAGCTCCGCGGACGAAGACGTCAGGCTGGCGTCGGCGGTTTTTCGCTGCCCCACATGATTTTTGGAAATAGTGGACGCGGCAAGTCGCGAGGCGAGGGGACAAAGAAGGTGAAAACATCTACTTGAGTTTTATTTTGGGGGCAACTAAGCACACCACCACATTAGGTTCTGGCTCAAAATGGTTCAACCGCAGCTGGGTGAAAGTAACTGGCGCAAGTTCTCCATCTGGGTGTAGCCATCCCCTTACCCACATGATGGGGGAATATGGGGGAATTGTGCCATCTACTCTCAGAGTCTGAGCCAATGGTTTTCCTTAGAGGGCACTACAACTACCATGTCGTTTCTTAGCTCGCTTTAACGCAAATTTGGATACCGCTCCTGAACGGCTCCCTTTCAACCAGCTGGACAAGGACACAAAACGCTTTGTCTTGTGGTCTTCCGTCAACATGTCAGAAAGGGTTTCAGACCTGTGCACAGCCGCTGGCTCTCCTCACTCAGCCGTCAGAGTTGGCAACGACCCCTGACACATATTTGTGCAGTCTATGCATCTATGCATGCATGAATATTGAAACATATACATTACTATGGACATACATGCAATTAACCTGCGCACATATGTAAGACATATGAATCAACCGGCGGGAATCTGATACTTCCTGCATCTCACGGCATGCAATGTAAACCAATGATCGACGGATTGCATGAGCGTCCAGGCGCAGAATTGAGTGTTGCAATCCAGGTGAACGAAAGTCAAGCGAAATCCAATGAATTGCATGACAAAGACCTACTGGCCATAGAGCGTCCAGGCAACGCAAGAGTCAGAGTGCGAGTCCATGGCTCGGGACACCTACCCGAGCTTCCGAAACTGGCTGGAAGGAAGGCCGGTTTCTCGTCCTCGGGGTTTACATGAAAAAGCATAGAAGAATCCATCGAGGCCCTGTGGTCAAATGGCCATGGGTCAAAAGCCCGTACCCCCAGCGAACATTCAAATCCCCTTTAAAATAGACGAGAATGGGTGGTGCACCTACCCCAAAATGGTACCATTGGTTTTGACCCACAGCCAAATCGATTCTGTAGATACATGCGCCGCATTTGCTTTGAGGAGTTGTACTAGCAGGCTTGGGATTCAGCATACTCCTGAATCGCAGGAAACAGGGAAGGCCTTGCCTGCTTGACAAAGCCGCGCTCACAAGTGGGACAGGACGAAGTTGATAGGCCATGGCAGGTTAACCCCATGCTATGGCCGGGGCTGACTCAAGAAGCACAGAAAAGGAGCAAAGGAGTTTTGACCGTGGCAGATCACCTGTCTACTCTGTGGCTTGGTTTGGTGGTTTAGAAGTTCCCTTTCCGAATCTAAACCAACCAAGGGACAACCGAGGAGACCTGGCGTCCGCAATTTCGATACGTCGC